TTGGTGTAGAGTCGTGCTTCGTCACGCGCCATAAGTTATAGAATATCAAATTGTTCGACTGTCCACAGTGTTCGACATTGCCAGAACCGTAGGGTATCCCCAGTTTACTGTATCCAGAATCCTGAAACGTCATCGGATGACAGGAAACATTGCTCTATGAAAGTCTACTGGCAGACGCCGAAAACCTACTGCCCAACCTGACCGTGTTTTGATCAGGTTAACAAATCAAGGTCAAAAGAAGTCTTGCAAAATCTTATGACAGGAATGGCAGGAACACATTCATTCTATGGTATCCAGAAGAACAGTGAATAGGAAACTGACCAAACAAGATTACTTGGAAAAGACAGCATGCGAACTTACAGTTAGGACAGATGAGTCCTGTTTCCAGCTTGTTAAAGCTAACGGTAGGATTCGGGTTCGTTGTTTGCCTGGAGAACAGATGAGGGAAGACTGTCTTTCCCACAAGGAACACACAGACGGTGGTGCAGTATATGTTTGGGCAGCTATTCATCATGATGGAAAAACTGCTCCTCATATTCTCCAAGGAAACGTCAATGGCGCCTCCTACAGGCATCATCTAGAGACGATACCTATGCCATATGCTAGGGCAACATTTGGCAATATCTGTGTGTTTCAAGATTACATTGCAACTGCCCACAGTGTGCATATTGTACAGGATTATCTCGACTAGGAGGATGCTACAAGACTGCCATGGCTAGCAAAATCTCCAGATTGCAATCAAATTGAGAACTGTTAGGCAGAAATGAGCCGGAAAATAACTAACCATGACCCTAAAACAGCTATTGTAGCTGAGTTGCAGCGCCTTCTAGAAACAAGTTGGGATGAAATCACGGTGGATTACATCAATAACCTCATCGACAGCATGACAAGTCACCTTGTGGAGGTTATTAGAGTAGGAGGAGGACCAACCAAGTATTGAATGTTTAATATGGACTAATATAAGGTTAAAGATGCTATTTATAATAATATTTTGTTATACAAGCAGAAGTACCTGTCCTCAGTGACGGGAAAAGTTTATGTTAATCTACCAATTTGAATTATTTCATGGACTTTAAAAAGGTTAATTGTGTTGCACCCTTGGTTTCACTCAGAGCCAAAGCTTTGAACTACTTATACTTCCCACCTCGAAAAGTAATTGTTGATCATTTAATTCAAGCTAAGAGCCGGTCAACAATAACATACGTTAAATATATTTTTTTCTTGAAATTACCTCACATTTTGAAATGTGAATGATAGTGTGATTAATTCCTAACAGTTTAGTGTAGAATATCTTGCTTGCGAAATAAAATTTGGCATCACCGTTATTCATGCTTGTTCTTCCGTCAATTCAAAAATGAATGTTGAGCTTTGCATAAGTGCGCAGCTTTTGAAACGTAAGACAGACGAACGCTCGGACAGACACTAAGATTCGCAGTATATACTTGTATAAGATTTTGTCATTATACATGTTTTGGTAAGGTTTCGTTGTGATAGGTGAAATGCTGAATTACACATCTTACTGCACGTGTCTCATAAAATTATTTGATATTCTAATAAATCGCTCATGGTGTCCGTAGAACCTGTCTCATTATCCATACGTAGAGGTTTAATATAACATGCATTTCTCAGTTTGACAGTGCTAAGTGTATTTGTATTTCATCTTAATAATAATGATTTTATTTGTTACAAAATATACAAACATTTTGGCCAAAACTATACAATCTCAAGATAGGTAACACCAACAAAAAAGGCAGAAAAAAAACACTCCTAAAAGAAAAAATCAGAATATCATCATTAAATGTGTATCATAAATATTACCATGACCACTTAAGAAAGAGAATAGGAAAAGATGAAGAGCTATTATGAAATAATTTACACACAATTTAAATTTTAGCCCATACAGTTCAAACAAGTAAAGACATTATCTGCATGTTTCCAGTAATATGAGTTTCTAGTTTTTTCGACCCTGAGATACTAATTTCAGATCAATGTTTATATGAACTTTCCAGTTAAATCAACACATGATTTTTAATACTAGCGAAGATAGGTTAACCGAGTGTGTGTATGTAGAATACAAATATTTCCACGTTAATTAATCTCTTACAATCTAATAGTATTAGTATTCCTATATTACACAGTTTAAAAAAGTGAGTTTTGTAGAGTTAATCTAATAAAGGAAATAAATACAAACTATTGTATATAATCTTCTTTCATGCCGTTTTATCGTCGATAATTATTATATCACTTACTATATAAATATAACTTTATAGAACGTAGAGTTTTTTATACATGAATTTAAGTATAACGACTTCAAAAACTGTTATTAAAGTTATGTTCAGTGGACAGATCTGTCCAAATAATATGCAAATATATAAATGGTTCAACAACAACATAATAGGAAAGTAGTAGGCGGCCGGAGAGAGGGATCGTGTGACCTGTGACTACACAGGTAGATAGTTCCAAAATCTGCCACCAGTAGCGAATAGCTCTAAAGTATACTACTGGAGCTTTTAGTTCGCAAATGTGCTGTCAGGAAGTAGATAGTTTCAAATTGGGCTACCAGGAGGCGGATATCTGTACGTATCGCCTCCAAGGTGTGACGTGTCTCAGCCTGTAAACACGCTATATTCAACTTTGTTTGCCTTCAGTTGCAATATTTTATGACACGATATTAGTCCTGCAATATGATCAAACTATCTATCTTATAATTTCAATTTATTATCCATTTACTGAATAATAAACAAAGCGTTTCAATGCATAAAGTTAATATTTTATGTATTATAGTTTGACTAAATGTATAGCGTAATTCGTGGTTTACGCATATAGTTATCCATAGACTAATTTAATTTACAATCTACGTTGTCCTGTAAAGGTCTGTTCTTCATATTAACATAATATATTTCTTGTCCCTTCATTCCAGACCGAGGAGCTGGCGGTTCATCAGAAGGTTGCGATCTCTCTTTGGCCAAGAGATGTGATGATACTAACGAATGATACAGCATAATGGACGCGTAAGTGTACCAATCAATAGACGAAGACAGGCGTGTATATGATGTTATGATTTGGAAATGGAAGCATATTTGTGTATTATAGACAAAATAATTTGATAAAGGTTAACAGAAAAAGAATCATTCAGCTGTCTGGATAAATATAACTGTGAAATTTCGGATTGGAAGGTCCACGTGAATAGGATAATCAACTGGAAACGACATAAAAAAAACAAGTTTAAAAGATAATCATTGGTGGCAAGAGTTTCTTCGGAGGATGAACATTCTGATTGAGAATATCAGAAGATATGAAATTTTGAGAGAGAAAATACCTGTGAACATATTTTATGTGAAGTTTCGTAGATATGAAAATATGTAGACAAAAGTGATTCTTTCATACAGCTCCTTTGTTGAACTAAGAAATTTAACGTTGAAAGTTATCTGTAGGGCATGTCGTTCTAAAACTAGATGACGGCTATGAGAGGAAGGAGAATCATTATGATCATATGGTCGAACAAAGGATTAAGTGTATATAAAAAGAAGGGTGGATTAAAACCCCAGGAGGTTTCTGTTATATATCGCAAGAGATTAAGACACTGAACGACTTTGTGACTGAGAGCTGTCATTTCGGCCTTCCATGTTAGATGTTTATCGAAGATGACACTTAGATACCTTACAATGTCAGAGAGCTGGATGGGAATGTTGATGGTGTCATTATGTATCAAAGAGCTGCGACATGGGTGAAACTTTCTCTTTTTGGGACTAAAAAGTATCATTTTAGTGGATTTAAGAAAAAGATGCTAGCCACGACTATAAGCCAAAATGGTGCTTACCGTAGCTTTATTAATACTAATCATAGTCTTACAGGTGATTATAAGAACAGTATTATCGGCTTGTTGGTATAATCCAACAGGATACATCGACTTAGGCATAACAGCAACATAAAGAATATACAGAAGAGTTGATAGAAACTCAAGCAGAAAGATCAAAAGATCGAGAGAAAGCACTCCCAAGAGAAATAGCTACACGTCTTCCGCAGAGAAATGAGTTGATAATTCGGATAGAGATAAGTGGTAGTTTTAACTTTCAGAGTTTGTAGATTAAGACACGGTGCCATAGGGTCGAAAGCTCGCTCAAAATAAAAAATATCATACAAAAAGGGTTGTTAGTTTTGTAATGATTGGATGAAGGTCCGATAATCTGAGAAGTTGATCCAATGTCAATAGCTGTGGACGAAATTCAGTCTGGATACACGGTAAGAGTTGTTGATCATTATTAAATCTATAGAGTTTATAAATTAAAATGTATTCGAAGGTTTTACTGAAGATACTGGTAAGACTGATAGGACGATAAGAATTAACATTTTTTGGAAGATTATTAGGTTTTAGTAATAGTAAAATAATATAATTCTTCCACGAATCAGGGTAAAACTCAGAGCGAAGAAGGAAAATATAAAATGTTACAAACAGAAGAAGAAACTTAACTGGAGTATGCTTGAGATGACGGTGTATAACCCAATTCGGGCCAAGGGCAGTGTTGCACTTACACCTCTGGGCTAGTTGGAGATCCTGGAATGTGATAGGTGCATTCATGTAACTATCGTCCAGAACACGTACTGCACTGGGGTAAGCTTAGGGTGAGAAAGATAGGTCAATTCAATAATATGTTCGAAGTCGAGAGGATGTTGATTGGAAGCTGTAAAGTTATTTTCATGAAATGAGGCTAAAATGTCAGCCTTTCCAAGTGAGGAAGTAGGTACAGCACCATCAACTGGAATCGAACATCTAAGGCAGCAGTTTTGTCCAGTCCGGAGTTTAAATCAGGAAGGATTTGAAGAATGTTGGAGTTGGTCGCAAACCTGTTGCCATTGCTGCCTCTTTATTAACACTGCAAAATTACAAGCAGTCTGTTAGAAACCTGTATGATGTAGTAAAATATATGGATCACTATAGTGACGATAGTCCCAAATGAATAATCAGGATAGTCGCAAAAGAGCCGTTGCTCGTCGAGGTAATGCTGGTCTATGTGGTGTTTAGAGATAAGCTGGTCTATGTGGTGTTTAGTGATAAGCTGGTCTATGTGGTGTTTAGTGATAAGCTGGTCTATGTGGTGTTTAGTGATAAGCTGGTCTGTGTGGTGTTTAGAGATAAGCTGGTCTGTGTGGTGTTTAGTGATAAGCTGGTCTATGTGGTGTTTAGTGATAAGCTGGTCTGTGTGGTGTTTAGTGATAAGCTGGTCTATGTGGTGTTTAGAGATAAGCTGGTCTGTGTGGTGTATAGTGATAAGCTGGTCTATGTGGTGTATAGTCCACATAGACCAGCTTATCTGTTTAGAGATAAGCTGGTCTATGTGGTGCATAGTGATAAGCTGGTCTATGTGGTGTATAGTGATAAGCTGGTCTATGTGGTGTTTAGTGATAAGCTGGTCTATGTGGTGTTTAGTGATAAACTGGTCTTTGTGGTGTATAGTGATAAGCTGGTCTGTGTGGTGTTTAGTGATAAACTGGTCTATGTGGTGTTTAGTGATAAGCTGGTCTGTGTGGTGTTTAGTGATAAGCTGGTCTATGTGGTGTTTAGTGATAAGCTGGTCTTTGTGGTGTATAGTGATAAGCTGGTCTGTGTGGTGTTTAGTGATAAGCTGGTCTATGTGGTGTTTAGAGATAAGCTGGTCTGTGTGGTGTATAGTGATAAGCTGGTCTATGTGGTGTTTAGTTGCCAATGAAGTAACATTATCAACAGAGGAAAGATTCGAATCAACATTGAACATATATCACTCAACATGAATACCATAAGATAACCAACAGCGTGGTGGTTATTCAAAAATATCCTACTTATGTCGGGATTATCATGGATTACTCGAGTCGATTGTTGATCACTACCTACATGCTGAGAGAGTGGACAGAAGCTATAACATCTGATAAAGAAATTGATTCCAGATGGCTTGGAAAAGGAAGAGGCAAAATATATCTAGTAATATTGCGCAAATTTGATTGAAACTGGGTTATTTCTGAGGAATTCCTGCTACAGTAGTTGATGTCAGCCAAGATAATACAACTTTTAGAATTTCTATCTATGTAGTAGAACAAGCCCCTGTTGGCCAAACGAATATAATATACTATCAAGTATGATGTTTCTCGCCCCCAGTGGCAAAGCGCTATGCCTGCGGACTTACAACACTAGAAACCGGGTTTCGATACTCGTGGTGGGCAAAGCACAGATAGCCCATTGTGTAGCTTTGTGCTTAACTTCAAACAAACAAATGATAATTCTGAAGGAACGTAGACAGTGAGAATAAGATGTTCAGGAAGTGCTTTGAGGCATATAATGAATACAGATAGATGAACACAATTACAGATTGCCACCTCTCCTTTGTCAATATATGAAGGGTGATAACATTGATGGAAAGTGTAGACAGACATTTTGTCTTTAATGTCGGCTTGAGGAAATTCTCGTTCAGGAAAATGCAATCATAGGAGGCCTCATCTAGTAAAGTTTTAAAACGAAGCCTTGTTGTGAGAAAGAAACTGGAGTAAAAGAAACATTTTAACAGGTAGTCTCGGTGTATCCTTCTTCTTCGGGATTCCATAAATGAAGGAAATGAAAGTGTGTGTTGAGTTCAGAATATGTGACTTACTTATTGAGCTTAAAGACAGACTTATCTGGACCTTTGAAATGGGTGAATATTTGGTATAGTAATAGTAATATATCAGAGAATGTCTTCTATTGTTGGGAGTTGAGAGAAGGAGTTTGGAGGAAGTGGAAGTGGTATCAACAGAAACTACATTAACAAGATCATTAGGTTTTGGATATGATTTTCGTCAGAATTTATAGGAATATGTGGGATGATTTAGCTGACAGATATTGCAAATGGGGGATGAGTTTAGTTTAGTTCACTGCAAGACGTGATGAAGATCCCCAAAATGTGGAAATATTAGCTTATTAGAAAACTTTTCTGTTAGATCAGTGTTATAGCAGAGATACTTTTTGCAACACAAAGGGTGTTGTGGAAGTGCTCTAGATGTTTCCACTAGAGGTCGTTGTTTAAAAATGAAAGCACCACGTTGAAGACGATGGTTGATTACATCTCTGCTTACTGCTAAAACACGAATCATGAAAGCTGGTTTTTGAGCATTATCAATATGTATTGCTTGCCTTATCAACATTTTGTCTTCAAAATATTTCTGAAATGTTTCGATCCACTCCACGAATGATACATGAAAACAGTGGAGTCCTACAAGGTGTCGGTTGTTTAAGAGAAGGGGATCAGAGTTCTCTGTATGGTAGTGTTAGGGTCTAAACTTGTGATCCTCATTTTATTATAAATGATGTCCAATAGGTCTTAACTATTATTTTTTTACTAGTTAGTATAAGATTGTAGATGTCTGTTTAAAGACAATGCGTAAGAATATATAACACTCACCATTTTCTGAATAACGATATTCTAAATGTACGTCTTTCCGTAGATGAATTCTGATCACAATGGTAACGCTTTTGAAAACAGTTTTTCTTAACGTATAAATCATACTATCTATCGCTATGGCGTGTGACGTTGCCAAATGGGGTTGTTGTTTCTCACGGTTTATTTCATGAATAGTGACACGTTTTGAAACACAGCTATATTCTGAGTATTTGCCACGTGAATCTCTGATCATAAGTTTACTTTTATCCCTAGGCAATAAGCTTGCCCAACAATGTAATCTAGGTCAGTTAAGAAAAGGAACGTTTTGCTCTGCTTAATAAATTTTATCTATTCAAACATTTTATTTGCATTTTAACAAAATTAAAAATGTTTATAGAAGCGTTTCTTTTAATCCAAACGAGATTACTCATCATAACTGAACAAAGACAATTTATCTTTCATATCATTTCACAAATATAGCAGTATCAGTTCTATGATATAAAGGTTACCGTTTACCCACATAGTTGACAAAATACTTGTTTAGCTGATCGTTCCTACTCTTTTGCTTAACTTGGCTGTAGTGACTTACTTTTGCACAATATTACCCTATGTCCACTTAGCTTAATGTGTTTGTTCAGTCTGATTGTACTTATAAATCCGTGTGACACAAAACAGTTTTAAAATATCATCAATTAAAGGCTTTATACTTCAAGCATATGTGTTATAGTAACATTGATAACATTGTTAATTTTGTGAAACCACTGTTAGTTTACGTTAAATATTTGTTCACTTTGTGCGTTAAATGTTTTCGGGAAAATATTTCAGTTCAGTTTGTAAGGAAGATCATATAGTTCGATAAGCATTGATTTAGTGAACAAAACTTTAAAAAACACGGATCGATTTAGTGAACAAAAATAAAAAAACACGGATATCAGCACTGTTTACTTTTTTTACTTTGAAATTACTTAAAGATTTTAACGTCAAAATGTTATATTGTAGACTTTCGTTCTGTAAATTGAAATCAGTTACTTTATATGATTGTTATTTGTATCTATCATCAGACCAAGACAAATCTGTTCTGTGTTTACCCTGACGTGAACGGGATCTGTTTTTCAGATTTATTTACTTACTTCATTGACATATCGCTCTTTTACTAGTTATATAAATATGGTAAAATCATTAAATGGTTTGTTATCATTCACCCACTAATGCATTAGGTAATAAATCCATTTTCCCATAATTATAACCCTGCTGTTTCTTTGTGATCGAATTTATGTCTTAACTTTCAACGTGTAAATTTGTTGCTTTTATTACTTATCACACCTACTTCCATTGTAATATTACCATGCTTACACTCAAATATGATTTAAATAGGATGATAACTACTTTAAAGCAGTTGAATTACAAAAAAAGGATTAAAAAGAAACTTGAATTAGATGTTTAAAACAAAATTGTTTGGAATGTGGATAAGTAGCTCATGGTACATCATAAGTGCATGTAAATAAAACACAAACTCTAAATATGACTAGTATCACACATATTGAAATATCTATTGAGATAACAAAACTTCAAGTTTTAGGTGATGGATTATGATTAGTCGTTTATGGTAAAGGTAAGATACGGGAAAAATTAAAAACATCTACTTCAACAAAACTACCAAAGACAAATGGTTTGTTATGGAATTCGCGCAAAGCTACACGAGGGCTATCTGCGCTAGCCGTCCCTAATTTAGCAGTGTAAGACTAGAGGGAAGGCAGCTAGTTATCACCACCCACCGCCAAATCTTGGGCTACTCTTTTACCAACGAATAGTGGGATTGACCGTCACATAATAACGTCCCCACGGCTAAAAAGGCGAGCATGTTTAGCAGGACGGGGATTTGAAACCGCGACCCTCAGATTGCGAGTCGAGCGCCCTAACCACTTGGCCATGCCGGGCCTGTTTTCAATAGCATTACATTTGTGAATGGAATTCATCTACGGAAAGACGTACATTTAGAATATCGTTATTCATAAAATGGTCAGTTACATACCTATGGCTTATAAGTAAAGAAAGAGTTATATTTAGGTAATCTTTAGTTAGGATAAATAATTTCCTATGGAGTTTAGTAACTAGATGGTAAAACAGAGAAGCTATGGCACTTAAGAATGAAACAGGGGTATATATATATATATAGTGACGGAATTAAAAAATACAAATACAAACAAACGTAATACCTATTTTAAACATTAAAAAAAAAAGAAAACTACATTGTGTTTGGTTAGTGTGATACATGAGATCAATATCTAGAGTTTTAATGCTTTAGGTTATCAGAAAACCAGTCCATTTCAGGGCTATATATTTGTATAATAGTTGTATATGTAAACTGTACTGTATTGCCATTAATTAGTGTGTTGTATGCAAAGAGAGTCTGAATGCTTTAGGTTAATAAGAAAAAAGGTCCTTCTCAGGACTATATTTTTGTAACATGAGCTAGTGCATGAATATATATGTGTAAATACGGAAGCCAAATTGTATTGTGTTACAAATAGTTGGTATGATACATACAGTATATATATCTATAATTTGAATGATTTACGTTAATACAAAGAAGAAGAAAAAAAACAGTTCTTTTCAGAAGAACAAAGACTCTAAGTTAAACTAGCAAATGGATAAGTACATGTATAAACCATGAATTACGCTACACCTTTAGTAAAACTGTTGTAGATAAAATTTTACGTATTAAAATGCTTTGTTTATCACTGAGTAACTGGATAATGAAGTGAAATTAAAATGTTGATAGCTTGACCATAACAATAATGCAGAACGAATATCGTGTCAGAAAATATTGCAGTCGAGGTCAAACAAAGTTGAATATGGCCTATTTATAGGCTGGAACATTTCACAACTTACATAGATGTATCTGCTTCCTGGTAGCAGACTTTGGAACTATCCTCCTCTTTGTAGCACATTGTGTAGCTAAAAGCCCTTATTCATACATTTTGGAACTATCCGCTTAGGACGTCACAGGTTGCACGATACCCTACCCCCACCTCTTGGCCGCCACCCCACAAATGATCTGGGGGGGCCATACTACTTAGGAATATCTACAATGTTGGTGTTAGCGGGAAAATGGTTAACTGTAAATTTAATTTTTGTTACATGTTTTTTTTTTATCTCCTATAGTTACCTAGAATAACTGGTTTTCACTTTGGCAAATAGGAAATCGGTAGGAGCATTTAAAAAAATTATTTAAGTTTTTGACTCTCTTAAGTGTTGGTTTCTTTGTTTGTAGTTGAGCACAAAGCTACACAATGAGCTAGTATTGGTTACTTAAAAACGTC